CATACGAGTTTTTTCGGCCTAAAGGTAACATTACATGCTGGACTAAGGAAGTTTGGAAGCATTTTGTTACACCAAAACACTCCTTCTTGGTTTGGCTAGGAACGCAATCAAAGCTCTTAACGAAAGAAAAGCTACATTATCTGGACATCGACCGTAACTGCATCTTCTGTGCAGTAAGGGAAGAAACATGCCATCACCTCTTTTTCGAGTGCAGCTTTTCTTCCAGTGTTCGGGGAAGTATCAAGGCTTGGCCGGGAATTTCAAGAGCCATGTCTACATTGGCCAGTGCACTCAAATGGATGAAGAAAGAAGCTATAGGTATCTCATGGAGTAGTAAAGCCAAAAGAATTGCATTGGCTAGCTCTGTCTATTACATTTGGATGGCAAGGAACCGACTTATTTTTGAAAATTTGAGGCCCAATGTCGATAGCAATGTTTGTAGAATCAAAACACATGTATACAAGGTGATGTTTGCCTTGTATCCTAATGTTTTGATTTGTTATGAATCTATGGCTATGGGTTAATGTTTCTTGTGTTTTGATGGATTCTCCTGCGTGAGATTACTTGGGTATGCCCATTTGTTGCATTTTCATTGTATGCATTGATCTTCTTTGTTGATCCACCCGGTTTTGCCTGGGCACTTGTATATCATTTTGATCAATATAATTAATTATTTACCGATAAAAAAAAAAAAAAATTGTCTGAATTAAGAAAGTACACAAGACATTGTAAAAGTTGAAAAGTAATCAAGTGTCAAGCTAAACGTGTAATGCCCAAATTTAGCCCCCTATTTGAGCTCCATTAAAAATAGATTTTGAGAAAGAAAAAATCAATTTTGAAATATTAATTTGAAAATGTGTAGTAAAAAAAAAATTGAATTTACGTGTAATATTATTTTATCGAAAAATGCGTGATTGAAAATAAAAAATAAAAAAATACATGTTTTCAAAAATGGAGTCCAAATAGGGCCTTAATGTTACAGACCAACGGAACATTGCAGATAAACATAATATTATTACTTTACGTGTAATATTATTTTATCGAAAATGCGTGATTGAAAAAAAAAATAAAAAAATACACGTTTGGAAAAATGGAGTCCAAATAGGGCCCTAATGTTTCAGACCAACGGAACATTGCAGATAAGCATAAGCTATCCTTTAATTGCGGCTCAATCAGGGAATCCAACACCATCTAAAGAGTCACGAGTGAAGATTAATTCCAATTTAAGTATGTCATGGAAGAGACGTGGTATGTGGAGTATTGTCCGGATCTCCACATTTGAGTAGAGAGATGAGGAAGACTCGATTAACTCAAGATAATATGAAAGAGGGGGAAAAGATATAGATATTAGAATCGATTTGGACATCGATCTGGACAAGCTTGGGTCTCGAGTTACTGGTTGAACCGATGGATCATTACATAAAAATTTATTTTAAAAAATAATAATAAAGTAAAAAAAAATTTTAGGCAAAATTATTTTTCACTAATTTATGTTTATAAAATAAAGTAAAAAAATCGTCCAAAGTTTTTATAAAAATACTTTTAGAAAACATATATATGATTTATTGAATAAATATAACTTATTGCACATAAAAAAATATTGAAATAATTTACAATTCTAATGGTGATGAACTAATTATTTTACTTAGAGATCCAAGGTTCAATTCTTCGGATCCTCACATTTTAAAAGACAATTTTGAAAATTGGTAAATCGATCAGGTTAATTTGGTCAAAACCGCCAATTAACTCGGCCAAAGTCGATTTTCGACCAAGTCATATGTATTCCTATTAAATTAATCTACTCGACCTGGGCAAGGGCCCGTGTCACTGATTTTTCGGCCTGACTGATAGGTTCGAGCCAAGTTTTATAACTATGGAAAGAGAGAGAGAGAGAGAGAGAGAGTAATGTACAACTAGCATGACATTCCCCCAAATGGGGGATATGTGCATTGATGGGAAAATTGGGAAAAAAATCAATGGTGTAGATCATGTCACGTGAAATTGTATAAATCAAAGTGTAATCCATAATGTAAATGTAACATGATTGAAAAAATGAAGTGTAATAAAAAATTAGGCTGATATGAATTGCAGAGATTTTTGACAAAGAAATTGATGAATCCACATGTTGCATCGATTTGATTAAATACAGGCGTTGGTGAAAATGAGTTGTTTAGGGACCTAAGCGAATGGTGAAAACTGGTGTCATCACTTCGCTGAAACATGTTGATGCTAGGACAGGTCTTAAATCATTCTAACTGATGTCAAGAGAGTATGTTTGGAGCGCTCTTGACTACGTTGAGTTTTGAACTTCTCGAGGCATGGTCACAAATTTACATAATATTTTTCAATAATTAATCTGAATGTGACTAGGAGTCGGAGAAATATTCGATGTATACTGACAAGGAATAAGGCATATAAAATATATTAGGGTCTGTTTGATTACAAATGCGTAAAATAGGTGGAAATAAAATGTTTTAATGGGAATTGAATTACCTATAATTTGTTTTACTGGAATTGTAATTAATTGTGCTTGATTAGTATAATTTTCCACCTAGTCCGTTTGGCTTTGTTTTTCATGCAAATTGTCAATTAAAGGGATAAAGTTTCTTACAATTAGGGATATAATTTATTTAGACTGCCAAAAAAATTTTTAAAAAAATTGAAAAAAAAAAAATTGGTATTCATTTGACTTTGTTTTACATTGATGAAAATAGTCAATTTAAGGGATAATTTTTTATTTTTTATTTACAATTGTGGATAGATTTTGTATCCATTGAATGAGAAAAAAAAAACCTAACAGGTAGGAAAACAAATTCACCCAAAATCAAGAAAATGGGTCACATGCACCCAAAGCAAGAAAACCAATTTCAAGTAAAAAAAATCGCTAGCAAACAACCTAAAAGTGGCAATTGGAAATTGAATTCCATTTTCCATGGAAAATGAAGGCCTATCAAACAGGCCATTGTTCTATCTTTCATTTTATTCCTCATCGTCGGACTTTGTAAGTTTTATATTTCCTGTTATTCTATTACGATTTAATTTTATTACCAATAATAACATTTCGAATTATTTTTAAATAAAAATAAAATAAAGACGAGAAAACAAAACAATATAATAAGAGTGTGTTTGATTGACATAAAAAATATATCATAGAAAAGAAAATATTTTTCTTATTTTGAGAAAAACAAAAACCTACTCCCCTAAAAAAAATGTTTTCCTTAAAAAAAAAAAAAATTAGGCATATTTTTTAAAGTTGGAAAATATTTTTCATAGAAAAAAATAGCAACAAAGACTTCAAGGTAGGAATCTGAGTGAAAACTGACATTTTTCATGAAAAATAAATACAATCAAACACATCCCAAGGGATGAATTACCTACCAGGTGAAAAAAGTATGTTTGACTAAAGAAGATAGTTGTTGGGCGTTGGAAATCTCCAAAAGTCATACCCCCAACAAGTAACAAGTGTATTTGTATTAGTTAAAAATTTAATGTAGTCGCAAAGTGCTTTTGAGAAAATAATAAATACCCACTTATCATCTGCCCTTGTATGAGATGAGACCCAACGTTTTTGGTCAAACTTATATTTATTCACAGATTTTGTGTGACTTTCAATTACTACTGACTTATTCATCGTTAACTTTTATTTTATTTATAATTTAAATTGATAATAATAAATTTCCAAACATACATTACACAAAATAATATGGTTCAAACAAAATGGTAACGCGACTCGGATAATGGGACAACGAGATTGCTAATCTCGATTAGGAATTAAGAGTCCATTTTGATACCTCAAAAGAAAAATAAAATAAAAATTAGAAAAAGGGTAATATTCAATTGGTCGCTTAACTTCTAGTGTAAGTCCAATTAGGCCGCTAAACTTTAATTTATCTCAATTGTGTCACTGATCGTCAATTTTGTTTCTATTTGCTCATTAAATTTCCGTTTTAGTCTTTCAAGTTGATGAAAAACACTTAATGACAAACTACATCGGAATAGATCTTCCACACATTCGTTGCATGACAAGTCAACTTATTAATACGACACGTTATAGATGTATTGAGATAAATAAAAATGTCATTTAACATTTAGTCTAAAGAAATCGCCACGATCTTCGTTTTAACATATCCGTTTCTAGTGTGCCACGTAACTATTACCGAAACTGCTTGTTTGATTCTCATTAATTTGGAAAAAATAAGTTTTGAATAGTATTGTTAGGAGATTGTGTGGTTAAAAAGTAGGAAAAATTGTTAGTATACCTGTAGAATATTTTATTGTATGAGCGTGTGATTGAAAATGATCCTATAAGAACGGGTATCAAACAAGCAAGAAATATCAACTTTTTTATGTTGAATAAAATTTGAGTGATGGCGGATGTCATATTTGCTTTTTTGGCACCTATATAATTTATAAATATAATTAATCAAATTAATATTTGTCTGTACATTTAGTTTTTGCTGAATTAAAATTAAAATTTTAATAGATTTTAATAAAAATTAATGAAATGTGTACAAAATGTATTACTAAAATTAATTATTAATTTTGACTATAATCCTTGTCTATCATTTATTTCTATATATTTATTATTTAATTCGACTACAATAACTTCCCAACGTGCACATCACCGTTGGTTCGTGTCTACAAGAGGGTAAGTGTACCAGATACTCAGCAATTGCCCGAAAAAAGGGTGCCGGTGTCTACACCGGCAAAGCTCCCCACCACCTCATTGTTAGATCTCTACTGCATTTCGTGGATCTACTGCATACGCACTGGGACTTTGAAACCACTGGCATCGTTGAATTTTGTGTTGGGGCTTGTTTACTGGTTGACGTACTTCATTGCCTAGTCAAGCGCGCAAAAAACGATGTGCAGTTTTTGAATTTTCGTGCAGGACGGGTTTGTCGGCGGACGGAGCTTCACCGGAACTCTTGACTACTCTGGCGAGTGGTTAGCAGGATTTTGTAACGACTACAGTGTGAATTGGTTTCTGGAGATAGAATATGGTTCTTTTTCTCCTATCTCTGCTACCTCTGATACCAATTAGCTTCGGTAACGTGTTTTCCGTTTTTGGCTGCATGTGAATTTTTTATTATTGAGTAATTGGAGCCGGAAAACTGGGAAGTTCGAGGAATAAAAGTTGTTTACTTTTTATTTAAGATAAAGAAGAATGTATATCATTCGGGACAGAAATTTTAGGTTCTTATTGTGCATCTTTTCCTTTTCAATAGTTGAAGAAACCCTCTTGTCTCTTGAGAATCCCGCAGACTAATTGTTTTTAAAGCTAAAAAACGTGGAATATCTTCTAGTTCCTTTATCCTTCTGAGCTTATGCGAGATATACGTCCAGAGCAGTTTACACCATCGATATACTAATTTCCATTTTAGTCCCAATTAGTCGAAGAATGTGGATGCTATCTGTTGTTATCTCATCCTTTCATGTGCAATGAAAGGTATATAATTCATTTTGGCCCGGGCACAGTCTCACGGCTAAAGTTAAAGAATTTATATTTTAGACAGGAATTCAAATTAATGGACTATAAAATGAATTTTCTGTTGAGTTTAATTAGTACAATTCCTAATCGTAATCCATAAGTCGGTCCGTCTTGATAAACCAAGTTTTCCACTTGCTCAGGGATTTCCTTACAGTACATCTACTTGTCTCCATCTCAATTCTCGAGCCTAGCATCCATTGCGAGGAAAACTTCTCTAGAGCACGATAAATTATCACTCTCTTATTTTCCTCTCATTAGAGCAACATCTGTGTTCCCCCTTCCAATGTGACGTTTCCTCACCTATAATGCATTATGTTGGTTTCATTGGAGTAGATTGCGATGTAAAGTTTTGTTGGAAACCACATCATCTTCTCTGAAAAGAAAATTATGATTGCAGAGCTGTGCACATGAACTAGGAAAGGTTTACACTTTGTTTTCTTTTGATTTCTAATAAATATTTCGGCGAATGTCTTATTGCTACTACATGTAGGCATTATTAACACAGAAAAATTGTGCTACTTTTCAGTGAGCTTAATGTCCATGAGTGCATCATTGGATCAATTTAAAGTGCTGCATAGAAGGCAATTTAAACCTCCTTTGATTTCACTGAATGCACCTTCTCTTTCTCCAGCATCTCATGGTATTCAAGACGTATATAATCTCTCCTACTTATTTTATATCTTTTAGCTTTTTATTGATATGGCACTTGCCTATAATAGGTCCAGTTGTCACTCCTATTGGTCTTACTCGATCAAGGAGTAACCACCACCATCGGGTGAGAACTCATGCAATTTCTCCAGATCTATCGGCTATAGCAGGTATCTATTCAGCGAGCACTCTCTCTCTCTCCCGCTCCCTCCCTATATTTGTAGTGACCATATTATGGGTACTTGGGTTGGAACCTCTTTGATGGTTTAAGAATTAAGAGTAGTTTGAAATATTATTTGCATCCCCAAGGAGATGCACTCTTGCCATTATCTCTTGGTCAGAGCCACATCTGCAGTTAAAACTACTAAAGAAACTAAAGGAGGAAAACAAAAAGAAGAGCTAGTACGTATGATTGATGGAAGAGAACTTCAGATGATATATAAATACTTTTCCCAATACATGTTGGAACAATCCACCAATATTGTGCTTGGATGATGTTAATAATTTCTTCTTAATGGAGTGTAAGTTATTTGCAATAAAGTTTAGTGCGGTGTTAATACTTGAACTAACGTGTTGGAGGTCTCGTTAAATTGATCACCGCATTAGTTGCTAGTGATTTAATTTGTGATCTTAGTTATTAATTAGCGCATTAATGGACGTGAGTTTATGTTACATGTTTTCATTTCTTTCAAGACATGCAGTGGTCTATTTAAGGAGCTCATTATAACTCCTTTATGTAAGAAAACATATTGGATTAATAAATTATTATTACGAGTGCTATTCTATATTTCCTTTTGCATTATTTGTCTTTTTCCGTTGATAAAATTTCTTGTCGCTTTCCATTCTTTAATTTGTAATGTTAGCATTAGAGCCACGTTGTGAGAAAAATTAATTACAAAGTGGGCAATGTAAATAGTTTCTCTCAAATAATTTAATTGTAGCAACAATAAACAATGGCTTCTGAAAATTTCGTGCAACCGGCGATTCCACGTTTTGATGGCGATTATGTCATTATGATCATTGGAGCACACCCATGGAAAATTTCTTATGGTCGAAAGAGTACTGGTAGATTGTTGAGTTTGGAGTAGTATAACCTGTAGATAAAGTTGTGCTTAAGAATGTCGCAGAGTGCAGAATCGGAAGGGCATAAGTTGAAGGATCTTAAAGCAAAAAATTTTCTTTTCTGTTATGCCTCTTCCAATGAGCAACCACATAGTGAGCGAACCTAGGCCAACATTCCATGTTATTCGATCCATGCGACAATTCTATCGAACTCCATGAAGATGTCGAACCTCGTTGAGAGGTCGAACCCATGTGAAGGGCCGAACCTTTATGGTTTATGGTGGGGTCGAATCCTCGTGGATGAGGCGAGGTGATGTGAGGCACTATAGGAGATGTTCTATACAAGATCCTTCATGATTGATTAATGTGACCGCTCATTGCAACGGTCACTTTATCAGGTCCAATCCTTACAACTTTGGCCATAGGAATGCGAATAGTTAGAACATTAAATGCGCTTGAGCCTATTATTGATCGAACGACAAGGCACCTCGACCGTTTAGATGAGGTCACGTGTCTCTTCATCCAATGATTATTGTTTCTCCTCTACTATAAAAAAGCTCACACTTAGTGTCATTTGAAGGTAATACAATTTATACTTTCAACTATAACTTTGTTCCCACACTATTTTTCCTACATACTTACCCCCGGGTCCGAACCCTTTATATTGTGGCTCACGTAGTCACGTTGTTAGCATGTCTTACACCCAAATACTCGCACATCAATAGACTAATCTAACCATCGAAGTGTTTGCGACTGCCTCTCCACCGCCGGAGAAGGTCGTGTACAGCTAACTGTTTGTCCGCGTGCAGGAAGATACTAAATGGACGTGAAGGGGCAGAAATTTGTTACACGCATCACCCCTACAAAAAGAGGTTAACATTTTCCGTGCTATTGATCGTTCAATCTTAGAAATATTCTTTGCAAAGACACCTTAAAGCATATATGAAATTCTGTGAAGAATAAATATCAATGGACGATGAAGGTGAAATTCATACAACATTAAGTTTGAAACTTTTCGCATGGAGTCGAGAGAAATTGTTTCTGGATTTTTCTTCAAGGCAATGGTAATTGCAAACACAATGTGGATCTATTACGAGAGAATGGAAGATATTATCATAGTGGAGAAAATTCTTCATTCCATGATGTCTCAATTTAATTATGATGTTTGTTCTGCCGAGGAATCAAAAGATCTTCATGTTCTTTTAATTGATGAGTTGAAAGGTTCTTTGCTAGATCATGTATAAGCTTTGCTGGCAGTTGCCAATCAAAAGGTAGGTGGACGTTGAATATGAAGATAGAAAGGTAGAAACAATGCAAAGAAACCAGAAGAAGATCATAACACCGATTCCTAAATAAAAAGGTCTTGGCATTCAGAACTCTATGGGGTTCAATTCAAGGCCTATAGACAAATTAAATGTAGAATGTTACCGTTGTCATAAATTTGACATTATAATTTAGAATGTCCCACCAACTTGAATAAAGAAAGTGGTGAAAAGTCCAACTTACTAGAAAAGTAAAATAATTCTCTCTTCTAATGGTATGTCATGAGAATGAATAAACTCACAAGAATTTGTGGTATTTAGTTGCACGATGTAGCAATCCGTGTAGATGTAAGTATGTATTCTGTGATTTAGATAAATTCCTTCGCAATATTGTGAAGCTTGGGGACAATTCATCGTTCTTTGTTACGGAAAAAGGAGGGGTAAATATTCAAACACAAGCAAAATTCTATTCACACTATTTTCAGTGTCCTATTTGATTCAGATCTGAAGACCAATTAGTTGAGTGATGGTCAACTTTAGGAGAGGATCAATGAGATCTCTAGCAAAGATGGAGTTGCAAAATTCAGGATGCACAACTTGGCCCTAGTAAACATGACGGCTAATCATATGTTTCGTTGTATCTTTATAAAACTACCTGTTTATGCTTCTTTGCAAGGTTGAAGGACGTGGCTTGATTATGGTTTTTTTGCTATGGGCATCTTAACTTTGACAAATTGAAAACATTGCTGAAGAGAATATGGTAGTTGATTTTCCTTAATTTGGGCGAAAAGTTTGTGAAGAATGTGTTATTAACAAGTAAAACCATGGTCTTTTTATGATAAGAAATTCAAGAAAAGCTAAGAAGGCATTGCAGTTATTTCATTTCCACATTTGTTGGTCAATAAATACAACTTCTTATGGAGAGGTAAACAATATTTTATTACCTTTATTGACAATTATAGTCAAAAGACTTTAGACTTGGATATATTTTTTACAAGAGAAATGAGAAGCTTTTAAAAATTGTAAATTAATGGTTGAGAAAGAATCTGTTATTTACTAATTCTTCATATCGATAGTGGAGGAGAATGCAATTCACATAAATTTGCAGATTTTGGGGAGATGCATGGTATTAAAAGACACCTAACGGTAGCCTATACACTTCAATATAAAGGTGTATGCATGAGGAAAAATCACACAATTTTACATATGGTACGAAGCCTTTTGACAAGAAGAAGCATTCCAAAGTATTTATGTTTTGAATAGAAAGTCCTATCATTTGTTTAAAATATGACACCTGGAGAATCTTGGAGTTGATGCAGATCATTTTAGAATTTTCAGCGGTATGACAAAGGTGATGAATATATTTCCTTGATGTCAGCGAGTGGTCTATAGCCTACAAGCTTTACAATCCATGACCAAGACAATTGTTGCCAGCCACGATGTCGTAATTGATGAAGAGAAGACTTAGTTATTGAATAATAATGTTCTAAAATAGGGAGCAACAACCAATTGTAGAAGTTGCTTAGGATAGTCCAGTTGATTATGAGGTACCTGGAATTGATCAACAAAGGACCCAATTAAACACTTTTCTTTGTTTTCAATTGTGAGTTTGTAGCCTTTGAAGATGATGTCGAACAATTGTACTGGCAGAAGACTATAGACAAAGAAATTGTAGCTATTAAAAGATACAACACCTGGAAGTTGTCTAATCTTTCGAAAGGGCAAAGGACAATTGGTGTCAAATATGTCTATTAGACAAAGTTGAAAGAAAATGGAGAAGTTGACGAGTGTAAGGAACGCTTAGTAGCTAAAGGCTATAAGCAAGAATTTGGCATCAATTACAGCGAAGTTTTGGCTCGTGTTATCGACGTGATATAGTCAGATTAGTTATTGCATTTGCAGTACCAAACTCATGGCCTATATTCTAGTTGGATGTAAACTCGGCATTTTTACATGGAGATTTGTAAAAGCAGTTATTTGTTGATCAACCTCATGGTTATGTGAAACTTGGATACGAGCATAAAGCATATAAATTAATGAAAACTTTATATGGACTAAAACAAGCTTTGATCTTGGAATGACACATTATTTTCTAAGCATATAAGTTGTACTATTAGATCATATAATTTTTATATGTGTAAGAAATTATGGATAGGTTTCAAATGAAGAATTGTAATTTAATTAGCACACCGACAAAATGGTTTGAAGATTACTAAATATCATGAAGGAAAGCACATTGATAGTGCTCGTAACAAACAAATCAAGGGAAGCTTGATGTATTTGACTGCATCAAGATCTCATATAATGTACGCTATGATTCTTCTTAGCAGATTCGTGGAAAGCCCAAAGAAAATGTATCTTCTTGCTATCGGGAGAATTTTTTGCTAATTGTAAGGAACAATTGATTATAGGTTGTTCTATATAAAATGAGAAAAATCAGATTTGATTGGATTTACCTATAGTGATAAGTTGTAGATTCGGTTTTAAGCAACTAGGATCTATTGGAAGAAGTAAAAACATTGATATTTCGTATTACTTCTTAAGGAATCTCACAAAGGAAGTGACAATTGATTTAATTTATTGCAGAAATGTAGATCAAATTGTTGAAATGTTAACCAAGCCTCTTTAATTGATTCTTTTCATAAAAGTGCAAAAGTTACTTAGTGTTCATGTGCGAGTTGGGAACTTTCAATTTAAAGGAGGAATGTTGATAATTTCTTCTTATTGAAGTGTTAGTTATTAGGAGCTTGTTCAATCCTCATTATTTTCAAAATACATGTTTATATCTCTTTTTTTCAACCATACATTTTTCAACAAAATAATATTACACGCAAACTCAAAACTTTTCCGTATTTTTTAACCACACATTCTCCATCAATTTACTATTCAAAAATGTATTCATTGGCAAATAATAGGGTTCAAACAAGGGCTAGAAATAAATTTTAGTTGGGTGTTAATGCTTGAATTAATGTATTGAAGATGTCATTAACTTGATTGTTTTCACATTGTTTACTATTGGTTTAATTTGTGATCTTATTTATTAATTAGTGCATTAACGATGTGTTTATGTTACATGTTTTCATTTCTTTCAAGGCGTGCGATGGTCAATTTAAGGAGCTCATTATAATTCAATTATGTAAGAAAAATTTCAAATTAATAAAGAATTATTACGAGTATTTTTTTTTATATTTCCTTTTGCATTATTTGTCATCTTTACTTGGTCAAATTTAGTGTTGCCTTCCATTCCGTTAATTTGTAACAGGTGGAAATTATTGGTTGAGAAGTGAAATTCACTCTAGACAATTAGACGAAACTATATCAGATAATCGATGACCTATTTGTGGGGCTTCTTTTTCCTATAATGATGGTGTAAGGAATCGGGCCTCGTGCATTAGCCGTTCTCATTTGTATTATCCACTTTGGAAGAGTCTCTGCTTATCTTACTGCTCACGAATTTCTATCTCATCCCTTGGGGTTTGAATTTTAAACTCGAGGCTTTTGCCTTATGAAAGAGATAAGTAGAATCTTAGTACCAATCGGATAAGCACATTTTTTTTTGTAACGATTAGGACCTCGTGCCCCATCAACTCACTCACATACTATTCGCTTTGGTTAAGCCTCTGTCCATCTTAACCTTCACGAATTTCTATCGCGTCTACCAACATTCAAACTCAGGACATGTGCCTTATGAGAGACATAAATTGACTCTCGTACCAATTGGATAATCCCAAAATGGATAGTATGTAAGAGAATGACGGGTACGAGGACTGGGTTGTTACAGATGGTGTTATGTTGTTCATTGCAAAAAGAGGCTAGCCTATTCAAATTTCCCTACATCTATTTTATTTCCACTTTAACATGAAAAAAGAGTGTAAATAGATGAGTTCTATAGTGTCAAATAGAATACCCAAGCTAAGCCTGTAGAGCCATGTAGATATCTAAATTGTATTATAGTGAATTAGTTGGTCACTATTATTCAGCTGAAATTGTATTGCTTTTTTACTTGTTAGAATCCTTTTTTGTTTCCAATACTCCAGGCGACATGTACTGGTTTGTTAGATGTGAAAACAATACTCCTAGTATAAAGTCGGTAATTCATCCAAGCCTTTCGTCCTATCTCTTGGGCTATTTCTTGCACTTTATCTTCATAAAGTCCTTATAGCAGGTGATAAAGTGAGTCTTTCTCGATTATCATAGGATGGTGAGGGGATGCCATTGAGTTGTAGTAGATATGCTTGAATGCTGGTATATACCTTGTCCAAAAAGAAAATGCATTTAAATTAGTTGTAAAAGCTTGTCTGTTATTGAAAAAAGAAACTCATGAAGAAATCCTGAAATAATGCGCCTGCAAAGAATTAACTCCCACATGGG